TAAATCAGTCAACAGGTCAAAGTTTGGAAAAAACAAATATTGATGACCTGAAGCTTATATTAGGCTGTATTGGGCCAGTGGGCAGATAAGACAGTAAACAATAAATGTCACATACTAGCATGATAAAACATGCCAGAAGGCCCTTAGTGCTGCAGAGAGCAACAAAATATATAAAAAGGCAGAGCAAGGAGCATCTAGAGTGCTGGATTACTGCCTGCTTAATCAGGGTGGTCAGCATCAGCGTCCACGGGAAGGTAAGGATATGAGCAGGCATTTAAAAGAGGAGGGATCAGCCATAGGGGACCCTGTGGGTGGACGAACCCTCTTGACAGAGAAAACTTCCAGGACCAAGTTCACAAGGTGGCAGCACATCTGGGTGTTGTAGAAACCTTCAGTCCATATGGCTGAAGCAGAGCAGGTGGGGAACCTGGGGAAAGGCGGGGAGGGAAGCCTCCACAGGGTTTGGAGCGCAGGCTCTGGCGGACATTTTAAACCCTTAAGCAAGGCAGCCAAGGTAATGATGGGACCCAGTGGGCAAGGGATGAGGTTGGGAGGTCAGTTAGGAGGCAACAATACTGGCCATCCAGCTGGCAGTGATAGGAAATCAGGATTAGAAAAGTGGTGGCAACAGAGGGCAAAGTGATCAGAGGAGCCTGACTGCAATGTACCCCAGGGTGTTTTATACTCTTCTTCTATAGGACAGCATGTCAGAAAGTCCACGGGTCATGCATACAGTGAAGTAAATGACTAGGCATGGACTTCAGACATTGTGTGTACTCAGCTCATCTTTTCATTCCATTTTTCTACAAAGCACTCTGTGAAGTATCCTCATATTAATATATTTTAGCAATCAGACGGAGAGTAATCTTAGACTTGGAAGGCCAAGTCACCATGAGTGCCAGGCAGAGGGACCTGAAGTCTGGACAACACACAGGGTCAATGGATGACTTCAGAGTCGCCCCGGTAGGATGGAGTGGCCTTCCACAGAAGAGCTTAAGGATGAGTGGGGACCAGGGGTATTTGGGGTTTAGATGTGTTGGGTCACACTACTGTGAGGGTCTTCTTGGTATTCTTTCTCATTCCCCAACCATAATAAAGACCAAGATTTTTAGCACCACCTACACAGAGCCCTGCAGTGGGTCCCTGCCATGTCTCTGGTCTCGTATTTCTGGGGTCACCTCAGCTACCCCCTTGGTTCCCTGAACACAGATGCTGTCTCGAGCTTCCAGCACAAGCTGTTTCTTCTGTCATGAATGCCCAGCCACCCCACCACTCAACTCCCACTGCCCCATTCTACACTACAATCAAATCCTGCCCAGGTCTCAGCTCCCATCCCAGACTCCACTACTTTAAAGAATCTAGGTTTCCTCATTCGCTCTCCCAGAATTTGTCTCCTGGAGTCGCACGGTTGTGTGATTGAGTTGTGAACCGTAAGTTCCCCCAGGGTTGGGTTGCCCATCACTGTAGCTCCAGTGCTTTACACTGTATCTGATATAGTGGATTCTCAGTAAACACCTGCTGAGCAGAAAAATTTAACTGTGGAAACCATCAACTTTCAGCTTCGAATTTCCTCTTTCCAAATCTTTATGTATTGCAATATAAGTAAGGGATACTGAGCTGGGGGGGGGGGGGGGAAAGCACAAGGAAATAGCGCAACATCATCATTTACAGGAATAATTGTTGATGTCATTTGAAATTCATTATGCACATTAAGGAGCCCAAGCCAGGAGTGTGTCCTTTCCTGTGGAATATTGTGTTGTTCACCAGATTTCTGGTTCTCTTCAGGAACCAGAATGGACTGCAGGCTTGCATTGCCCCTGCCTTGAAAGGCAGCTCGCCGCGTGTCTTGTTCGGGTCACTGAACACATGAGCAACAGACAGAGGCATCAATTCCAGGCACAGGCAATAATCTGTGGCATGCAACCCTCCAGTCATGCCCACCTGTAGTAGTTTTCTGGGGCTGCTATAGGAAGTTGCCAGAGCTGGAAGGCTTAAGCCAGAAGTTCACTCATTCTGGAGACAGCAAGCCCAAAACCCAGGTGTTGACGAAGCTACACGCCTCGTCAAGGTGTAGGAAGAATCCTCTCTTGCCTCCTGGTTCTTACAGTTGCTGGAATCTTGGTGTTCCAGGACCGATAGATGGCTCAGTTCCATCCTCATGTATTCTCTGTGTGTGTCCCACTTCAGCACCACAAGGTCAAGTTTCCCTCCCTTCTCTGATAAAGACACCGGTCACTGGATTCAGGACCCATCCCAATCCAGTCTGACCTGATCTTGAATTGATGACTTCTGCAAAGACCACATTTCCATTACCAGGTCACATTCCCAGGAACACCAGGGGTTGAGGCAGGAAAATGGCCTCCCACTGACCCCTCTACAGCACCTTACACTGGCAGTCATGGAGCTCAAGTTGAAATAGGACCTGTGTCAACAGGGGATCACGAGGGATTGCCACGAGACAGGCTCGTGTCTCCCAGCCCACCTCATTTCATTCACATGTCCTTCTAGGAAACTTGTGATGGGTGGGCCCACCTCACCCTGGGTAAAGTCCAGCCTTCTGTTTGCTGACTGCATGCAATTGATCTGCGTCAATTAAATGTGTCTACACCATAAGCACGGCTTGCAGCCTGTCTCTCGTCTGTCTTCCCTTTAGACAGACACACTGTGGCTGTCCTTCTTCTCATTGTGCTGTGTGCCCAGATGATATGCAGGAGCAGATCAGCAATCTGCTGGGCAGCACACACACACACAAAAGACCAAGATCAGTGTTGGCTGACCCTGCCAGAAGAAACCAGATAATGAGTTTTAGTAGACAGGTGACCCCAACAGGGTGTCCGTGCATTCCAGACTCTGCTCAGTACTTCGCAGTTCCCTATGCCCCCCTCTGGAGCTGGTATCTTATAGCCACTTGACAGAAGAAATAGAGGAATAAACAAGTGGCATAACCTGCCCATTGGTGACACAGGATCTTCAGTGCAGGCCCATCTGACTCGCCTGCCTTCCCGCCTCGATCCAGACAAGCCTCAATGGTCTGCCAGAGGAGACGAGACTGCCTGGTGTCACAATCGATGCAGGTTCATCTCTCTCCATCCTTGGGCTGTGGCGACTCAATGACGTCAGCAAGTTGCGCTCACAGATCGGAATGGAGTAAATGACTCTCCCATTTCCAGCTTGGCCCTCCTACCTGGCTGAGTTTTCCAGACTAATCCAAATGCATTTTCTCATCTTTCCCTTTATAAGGATTGAAGTCAGACTCAACTTGCTAACCTGGCCCCAGACACAACAAACATCCTGCTGCGAACAGTCACTCGGCCATTAAGACAGTAAAAGTCCAAAAGAAACATGAGGCCAAAGCCATCCTATTTTTAAGTATTTCCAACCTTATTTCAAAACAACCTTATGCGACTTGTTTTCCAAACAGCCCTGTAAGCAGCCAGTCACTTCTGAAACCTGATTTTTCCTACACACACATATCCTGTTTTCCATGCTTGGCACTCAAAAGCAGCAAGTATGAAATAGGCTATTTAAGAAAAAAAAAAAGTTGCAGGAATGTTAAAATCCGCGGTGACTGGATTTTACATTTACCGGCAGCACTCCCATGCTGGTGTTGGCATGGAAACTAGGAAAGAAAACTTTCCATCTGTCTGTCACTTGCTACTGTTTCCACTGATTCTACTGTGAATCCCATTTTAACAGTTTCTGCAAAGTTAAAAAAGTGATTCCTTTTGTGTTCTCTTTGAGGACCTCTGGCAAACCTGCAAACGCGTGTGTTATTAAAAAAAAAAAAGATTTGAAAGCTCAAAAATTTGGGCTGCTACACATTCAGCTGGTTAACATCGGAACAATTGCCTGCTTCCCTGCCCCCGCCCCCTTCCACGTTTCCTCTGAATGCTTGGGTCTGGGAGAGCCGCGCAGTCTGGGACTAACTCTGCCCAGGCCCTCCTTGGTGCACTCATTAAAGACACTAGAAGGCGCATGTACTTCTCCGACCCGTGGTTTGATAGGGCAGGGGCTGGGACCACTCCAGCATCCCACAACCTTCGTGTAAACAGCAGGTGGGCTGCGGTCACACCTGGGGCTCACTCGGGTCAGGAAGACTAGAGATTCTTGGAGCTGGGCTGGGATCCGCGAGGCTGGGCAGCGTTGTCCTTGCCTGGGAGCGAGGGGGTAGGAGCGATGGATGGAGCCCTGTGTCTAAGCGAGTCAGGCGGGACGGCTCACAATAGCGTTAGCTCCGTGGCGTCTTAGAAGGCTGAACTGCGATGTTCCTGGCCTGGATGCTGAAGACGAGAGCGCCGCCTACTATCCAAGGCTTAAGGAGCCTCAGGCGGACAGCAAAGCCAGGTGTCCCCATTTTCGTGAGCCTCCCGACTGGTAGCTGCAGAGGGTCGCCCCCACCCCCACCACGGTGTCCACCGGAGGGGACAGATGTGGGCGCCAGGGAACGGCATTTACCACGCCAGAGACTCTCAGAAAAGGATTCCGGCGGCTGGGAGGGCGACTCCCTCCACATCGTCAGGAACGCGGGATTATGGCTGATTTTGCCTTCCCTGCGTACTCTGTCCCCGTCTTCCACGTAGCCCGCTCACTGCTTTGATGTGTGTCTTGTTACTCCACCAAGGAGACATGTGCTAGAAGGCAGTGCCCGGGGCAGGAGCTGGAGAGATGGGGCGGGAGGGCAGAGGGAGGGTCGGGGTAGGCTTCCTGAGCAAAGGAACACATTCGGGGGGCCCCGCACCACGGTTCCCAGCGTCCGGCACGTAGTAGGCACTCGGCAAACATCTGTGGAGCAAATGGGCCGCAAGTTTTCGGCGCTGGGCACGTGGAGCTTGGGAAACCAGGGCAGCAAATGAGACCACAAAAGCGACGCAGGCGCGTGCGGCAAGCAGGGGCGCGCGGCGGCGGGGAGCGGGGCGCCCCGCGGGGGGCAGTGCCTGCTTGGCGCCCGGGGCGGGGGCGCGGCACGTGCTCGCCCGGGCGCCGGCGGCCCGCCGGGGGCGCGGGGGCGCCGCGCGGTGCCCCCTGCGTGTGCTGCGGGGCGTGAGTCACGGCGGGGCTCGCCTTTATAACGGCAGTCACCGCGCGGGAGCCGCCGCGCCTGCCCGACCGTGCGCTCGCTGTTCCACGCTCCGCCAAGCCCAGGTCCGCGCCCACAGCCGTCACCATCCGCCGCCCGGTCTCGAGGACACCATGAGAAGGCCACGTTGCGTCCCGTTCCTGCTGCTGCTGCTGCTGCTCCCGGCGCTACTGCTCACACCCCTCGCCGGGGACGCCGCGGTGATTACTGGGGTAAGCGGCCAGGCGCACCTGTCTGCCTTAATGATGCTCGCCGGAGATGAGCTTGGGGGGAAAGGGAGTTGGGGGAGAATATCCAGGATTGAGACCTTGGAAAGAAGGCGAAGGGTGTCTGGAAGCAAAACGGCACCTACCTCAAGGGCTCTTGGGCACACTTGGGACCGCGGACAGCCCGGGGCGCTACGTGCGCCTGGGGAGGAAAAATAACAACAACAACAACAAAAAGTGGCAGGAGTGTCATGAACAGCGAGTCCCGCGCACTTTCCTGGCTCCTTGGCCCCCAGCCTCCTCCTGTCTGCGCTGTGAACCTGCAAGAAGTTTCAGGCCCCTTCAAGTACTTTCCTTCGAGGCTCTGCAGCCTGGAACCCTGCATCTGCAAGGACCCCTTCCGGAAAGGCAAAGGAGAGGGACTAATGCCCTCGGGGACTAATGTCCCCCGGGATCTTAATCCTGCATTCAGGGGCTTTGCTCCCTGAGGCGTCCTTGGCAGAAGCCCTTTGAGACCCCCCGAGTCCGGGGCCCTGTATGTCCTTTGAAAAGCAATCGTGGGAGCTTCCTTCTGGGTTCCGGGGCATTCTTTCTTTCCCCTTGCCAGCGGCTCGAGGTTCTCCGTGTGAAAGTTTGCCATTTCCAATTCCTGATAAAGCCCCCTCTTGGCTGCAGCATAATTGTGAATTAGTCTGCCATGTAGCTGTTGTTTAAGCCCAGAGAGGCCGGCTTCATCCTTGTGGGAGGGGGGGACCAGTTCAGGTCTCTCCTGCTCCCAAGGGAGTTCTTTGTGTGGGTCTGAAGAATGAATTTGACAGCAAAGAAAAGTCTGGTTCTTTTACATCCACAGGGCAAAACTGCAACATTTCCTGATTCAACTACCTTATTCTTTTTTTTTTCTTTTAAATTTTTTGTTTGTTTTAGCACACAATTGTTTTATACCTTCATAAAATTACTTTAGAGCTACAAGTACACATGCTAGGATTTAAGGAAAATGTCAATATTTGAAGCCATGATACGTAGTTAATGAAGCGACCTTTCACTTTAAAGGCAATGTTCATCGTCTGGAGAAAATCAAGCTGTTGTCTCCATATTGGTTAATAGGTTGATAGCCTTTTGAAAGCCTTTGTCCAATAGAGATTTAATTAAAAGCTTAGTAGTATTGGCCAGGGTAGAGCTTTTTTTTTTTTAATGTATGTAATTGTTTAGTCACTAGGCAATCCATACATGTGTTGCTGTGGGTTTTTTTTTTTTTTAAGGTTTTTTATGGGTCTTTCTGAGACATGAGAATTGAAACCTGATTTGAGTTTTCCCCTCTCTTCCCTGCTGGCTCATTTTAAATTTCTCCTAATCCTCCAAGCCCAAGATTCCTTGGCGGTAAAAGTATCTTTTTGTTCCATTCACTATTCGAATAGATCTACAATGGGGTGAGGTTGAAGGGCACCAGGAAACAACTGTGTAATTGAAAGTATATAAACCTGTGCAGTGCTTTGTGCATTTTCCAAGAACTAAATGAGGTTTTTGTTTAACTCCTAGAGATGTTTAGACAGTACTTATTATTTAGTTATGTGTGATGTTTTTGTTGTTGCTTTAACTCAGTGCTACAAAAAAAAAAAAGTTACATTTTTTTTCAATAGCAATATGACAATAAAATGTAGTTAGGTCTCCCTGGCAGAAACCATCTGGATCCAAATGAAAACCCCAATGATTTGTGAAGCTCTGTTGTTTCTTGAATGTTAAACATGCAACGGGTTGATTGAGTTTTAAGATTTTGGCTAGGTTTGGTCTTTCTAAAAAGGGTTAGTGAGGCTTCAGAATCTGGGGAACTTTGAACAACTATTGAAATGAGATACTGGCTAGGACCTTTTCGGGGGAGAGGGCATTAATACTTATAGGTATTTGAAACACCTTTGTTAAGACCGCATTGGAACAGATCATTGTCTGGTCCTCTCATTTGTGGAGTATAACCGTGTGTCATGGTCACATGTACCGATATCTGGCATAGAGACAAAAGCAGGAGAATGGGAAGGTGCCAAGATTGTACTATAAAATCCAAAATACCCACAAGGTGAAAAATACAGTTTTTATCCATGTACACATTTGTTGTCAATAGACTGAGATTGAAAAAAAAAAAAACTAACAGGCAAAAGACATAACCCCCTCAAGCACAACCATGATGTGGTCACTTTTAATGATAAGTCATGTTAAGAATGTGCATCTATTTAGGATTGGAGTTGTCATGGCTGTCCCCGAGGCCACTAACTTGGAAGGCGGCTTTAGTTGCTTGCAGTAAATGTATACTTAACACTTGTGCCTAAATTATACACAGTGCAAGCAAGACATCCAGTTATTGGTTGTTGGTTTTCAAGCAAAAGCCTCTAGACTGCAGTATTTATTTCTGCTCAATGGAGTAGAGAAGTTCTCCACTAGCTGATGCTTTGCGGATAGCCCCTGCTGCCATTTGCATGTCTTGATCTGGTGCCATTTTACAGCGTCATTCCCACCAACCGTGAAATGGACAAGTACATTCCGGCCTCATCCAGTCCTTTCATTTTTGCAAAGTATTTGTTCACCTGAAAGAAGACCAACGGAAGTCTTGACCCATCCGTTCCCAGCCTGTGAGATTTCCTCCGCCACCCCCTTTTTTGTTTTTTCTTTCCTAGAGAAAATGGTGAAAACCAAGTCAGTAATTTGAGAACCATTAAGTTGCATAAAGAGCCATCAAATTTCGTGAACCAAAATGAAATTGTTTGAAAGGGAAAATGGATGCTTCTCCGCTTTACGTCAGTGCCTTTGTGGGTCCAAAGTGTCCCTGATTCTGACACCATTTACATCTCTTTCTAAAACTAGGCACAATGTGTGCAGGTACTAGTCATGAACATCTTGTGATCCAATTTGGGAAGTTTCTAAATGGCCACGTATAGTGTAGAACTAATAAAGACTCTTTAAGTACAAAGACAAGTTAGCCATTACAAAAAAAAAAAAAAGTGCTAGGACAAGACAGCTCTTTTAAAAAGTCTGGTTATTCAAACGCTAGCATTTGGATCCAATGTTGGAAGAGCATTTCGCTGCTGATTTTCGATTTCCGGGGCTGGCTCACCACGTTTCTCTTTCTGTTCCATTGCAGGCCTGCGAGAAGGACTCCCAGTGTGGCGGAGGCATGTGCTGTGCAGTCAGCATCTGGGTTAAGAGCATAAGGATTTGCACACCTATGGGCAAAGTGGGAGACAGCTGCCATCCGCTGGCCCGTAAAGTTAGTATTCGCGTATGCGTGTTCTCGGAGCTTTTCTGATGTTGCCTCAAGGAGGCTGAAACCTTGACATTCCCAGGGCTGGTGCTGGGGGGCTTGGGATTGGGAGTCAGGGGAGATGTGAATGGGAAACCGTCCTCTCCGCCTCCGTTTCAAACAGTCGTATCCTGTGCCACCCTCGATAGTGAGCACATCCTTGCTGTCATCACATCAGAAGCGTTTGGCCAAAAATAACTTTTAACGCCTGACTTTGCTTGAAAAATCTATTTAGGGCATGAGTGCAGATGATGCTGGAGTCCGTGGAATAGAGCAGAGTGTGCATCTCTGCAGAAGCCAGAGGGCAATGGTTCTTGGACAGATTACCAGTCAGGAGACCTCCTGGTAAGGCAGAAGTGAACAGGCGTCCGTGTGTGTTTGCAGAAGGTTGTCCAGTTGCTCTGAGATCTTAAAGATTCGACATTTTGTCTCTAGCTACAGAATACATGGTTCACCTGTTTAGGGATTGGTGATACTCAGCTCTCCAACTTGTATTACCATGCAGCTCAACATCACAGGGCCCCAAATGACACTTTGGAGAAGTTAGTGGCAGCCAGAGGCGTGACTGTCAGTAGGATGGCAGGATTGGATTGTGTCACCAGTGGTTGCAGGCTGACCTATCCCCAGGGTCACATCAGGAAGGAGCAGGCCGAGGTAGCAGGGAGCCAAGAAGAGTGTTCAGCTTGCGAGGGGGTTGAGGGAGGATCGTCGCCCTTCAGACTGCAAGCCCAAGCGCTGCCAGATGCTGGGCTGCAGTGAGGGGCCATCCAGGGCCAAGTAGCTTATTGCAGGCAGAGCCCCAGCCTCTCTGTGTCAGTCTTTCGACACACTGTTCACTCTCATTTTTTAAAACAGGCTGGATATTTTCGAAACAGTTCTGTCCTGTAGACTTATTCCATCACATGTTGACTGAGGGCTTCCCGTGGTCACGGAGGTGCGTGTCTTTCCAGGAGCCGGCAGTCTCTGATGACATTTATGATTTGGAAATTTCCCAGAGTGAGCGAGTATAAAGGAAGGGACGGGGCGGGGCCCCTCTGTCTGAGGGTTAGCTCCGGGAGTCTGGCTGCGGATTGCGTGGTCTGGACCTAACTGAAGGCTTTCCTGTGACCAGCTTGTGAAATGCTTCCTGCGGGGTGTAAACTGTCCCCGTCTGTGGTTTAAGCTTGCAAGGTCACCCAGTCCTCCTTAAGTGCTGTGTGTGCCATTCCCTCTCAGACATTCCCTCCTGTCTCTGTGCCCAGCTCCCCACAGGGAGGGGAAGCTGGCCCAGCCGCCTTACGCGTGGACCTCTGTTTTGTTAACTACCCTTAATGAGTGGGTGTCATCTTTGGTGCATGAAAAATTTACACTCAACCATCTCCTTTACAAATTATGCTGTTCTGACAACATCCACCTCACCTTATATACTGAGATGCTAGAATCGTGGAGGCTGTTTGCTAAAACAGCAAATGAAAAGGGTCACATTGCACAGAACTTTTTTTGCTTTAGTGGCCACTCATTAAATTCCACCATGTACTGGATTCCCTGTACTAAGCGCTGTGTGTGGCTTTCCTGTTTCCTAGCTACAACAAGCTCATGAAGTAGGTTCATTTTTTGGTCATATGACACACACAGTAGGGTCCCCTCCCTGCCATAACTAGAGGGGGTCCCCCAGGTTGTAGGTAAGAGAGCAAACGCAAACTTTAATCTCTTTCCAACACCCCTTGCCTGTCCACCAGAAAACTGTCATTGTGTTCTGTTGACTCACCAGTGATTTGTGCAGATAACAGGTGCAAGACATTGACCCAAGATGTGTGATGGCAGCCTAGAAGGGAACGTGCCTCGTTGGGTTGTATGTAATGCATTTTTTTCCCCAAATACCTGCTATGCTGAGGTCCAGACAACTTCATGTTTAGCGTGTCATCACTTGTTACACTACATTAGTCTTCCCTCATAAAGCTGGATGGCATCTCTATAAGCATGAAAGTGTTTGTATTTCTTTCTTTATCATGATTTTAAAAAGGAAATCTTTTCCTAGTAAAATTAAGTGATAAAATATCAGAAGTGCTAAAAAATAAGGTTTGGCATTAATGTTCATCCTATTCAGACACTCAATTGAGATGTACTTCTAGAACTCAGCTTTACAATTTTTCATGTTGATTATTTTTCTGTCTTGAAATACATTTTGATGACCCATTTTGAGTTGTTACTTGTGCCTATCCTAAAAAAAAAAAAAAAACTAGTTTCTTCCAGAATATCTGTCATCTCTTCAAAACTCTGCAAGAAAGCCATTTTTCAAGAATAAATTCTCATGAACATTTTACATAGCACGTAATTTTATTCTGAACCCTCATGGTTCCTATATCCATTAATGATAGAGGGCATGAATGTGAACACTATATAGAAACCTATTTCTTCTGTGTTTGGCTTGATCGTTGGCCACATAATCTGTTCATGTGGTTATGGTGAACAGTATCTGATTGGCAAATTTGCGGACTCGAGAGAGGAATCAAGGCCGTCTATTTCTTCACAGTTATAGAGTTTATAATCACTGGTAGGTGGCTATCATTTTACATTTATGCAGTTTTTACATTTTCTAAAAGTCAAATGAAACTTAGATACATCTAGAGAGACTAAGGCACTTAGGGTCTAAACACAATTTGGAAATCAGATTTACAGAGAGGAAGATCTTCCATCTGCTGATTCACTCCCCAAGTGGCTACAATAGCCGGAGCTGAGCTGATCTAAGCCAAAAGCCAGAAACTTCTTCTAGGTCTCTCACACGGGTGCAGGGTCCCAAGGCTTTCGGCTATCCACTACTGCCTTCCTAGGTCACAAGCAGGGAGCTGGATGGGAAGTGGGGCAGCCAGGACACAAACCAGCATTCATATGGGATCCCGGCACATGCAAGGCAAGGACTTTATCCACTAGGTTACTGTGCTGGACCCTCTAAAATAAATAATAGTTTTAACAGGTGCTCTATTTTAACAATTACAAATGACTTCTGAATTATTTTTACATTATATTCTTCCTGCTTTTTCTTTTTTAAAGAAAAATAGTTACAATTTTACTGATAAGCATACTTTTCAAAGACTATTATGAATTAAGCCATTTCAATTAAACTGTGATTAACGTTGATTTGGGAAGCTTATAATTGTGATTAACACTTTAATTTTAATTAGAGTTTAAATATTCATCTATGGGTTTTATTACTGTATTAATATTATATAGTTTTTTTCTGATATTAAACCAGCCGTTTCTGCCCAACAATGTTATTTATTTTTTCTTTTTCATTTTGCTGCATTTTTATATAAGCATGTTTAGCATCCACTGGCTTTTCTTTTTTTAAAAAAAAAGATGTATTTATTATTTATTTGAGAGGCAGAACAACAAATGGAGAGAGAGCAAGATCTTGCGCCTGCCGGTCCAGCTCTCAAATAGCTGAGGCAGCGAGGTCTGGTTGGGCTGAATCCAGAAGCCGTGTCTCCTGTGTGGCTGGCAAGGAAGCAGGTGCTTGGCCTGTCATCTGTCCACTGCCTTCACAGGTGTATTGGCAGAAATCGTTCTGGAAGCAAAGTAGCTGGAATGCCAGCCAGCACACCAGTGTGGGATGCCAGGTAAGCCACAAGCAGTCGCTTAACCCAGTGTACCACACTGCCAGCCTCTGCTCTTTTCTTTTCAACTTCACTTTAAAACTTTTTTTGGAAGGATTTTCATTTTTGAAGGAAATAGCTTCAAATAAAAATCTTGGTTTTGTTTGTTTAAAAAGATAATTTGAAAAGATGCTAGTTTAGATGTCAGAACCGACCTATGATGAAACATGGTAAGCAGGTATAATTTCAGAGTGTAAAACGATTTTAAATTTTTTTGAAAATTCATTTTTAAAATTTTAACATTTGAAATTTTATTTTTAAATTTTTATTTTTAAAAAATTATATGGGGCCCAGCAGCGTGGCCTAGCAGCTAAAGTCCTTGCTTTGAATGTGCCAGGATCCCATATGGGCGCCGGTTCTAATCCCGGCAGCTCCACTTCCCATCCAGCTCCCTGCTTGTGGCCTGGGAAAGCAGTCGAGGACGGCCCAGGGGCCTTGAGACCTTGCACCCATGGGGAGACCTGGAAGAGGTTCCTGGCTCCTGGCTTCGGGTCAGCGCAGTACCGGCCATTGCACTCACTTGGGTAGTGAATCATCAAACCAAAGATCTTCCTCTCTGTCTCTCCTCTTCTCTGTATATCTGACTTTGTAATAAAAATAAATAAATCTTTAAAAAAAATTATATGTTAAATAATAGTAATAGGAGGCTGGCCTTCTGTTGCAGTAGGTTAATCTTCTACCTGTAAAGCCAGCATCCCATATGAGCCCAGTTCGAATTCTAAGTGCTCCACTTCCAATCCAGATTTCTGCAGGAAAGAAAGAAGAGAGAGAGAGAGAAAGAGAGGAAGGAAGGAAGGGCGAACAGACAGATGGACAGACGGACCAACCCAGGAATGCAGCTGATGATGGCCCAAGTCCTGGGCTCCTGCCGCTCTCATAGGAGACCTGGATGGAGTTTGAGGCTCCTGGTTCCAGTCTAGTCCAGCCCCAGATAACTGCATTTATTTGGGGAGTGAACAAATAGATGGAAGAGCTCTTTCTCTGTCTCTACCTCTCTGTAGCTCTGCTTTTCAAGTAAACAATTTTTTTAAAAAAATAGGAAGAAATAAAGAAGTAGTTTAAAAAGGGAGTGCACGTTGCCTGGAAGAGCCCACTTTGCTAATCTCCTTCCGTTTCCTACCGCAGAGTCCAGGAGCTGCTTTCTCAAGGTTGTATCACAGCTGCGGTTATAGGTTCAGATTGGCAGAGAGACCTAAAGATGACCTAGTCCAATACAGACTTTCTCAAGCTTGGCAATGTGTGATGTCCTTTGCCCAGTTTCTCCCAGTGGTAGATTCTTGCAGAGCTGTAGTCCAGTGTCACAATCCGGTGATACAGAACAGCTCCACGGTGCCAGCTGCCCCTCCCCTTCCCTTAGATGAATGTTGTTTTCTTTCTTAAATTTACTGCAATTGAGTAAAAAACCATACTTTCCCAGAAGAGCACAGTGTTTGGTCTTGGTAACTTCTAGAATCCGCTGGCAGGAATTCTGGTAATTTGGATGGAGTTTTTGATTTTAAACCATCTTCAACCTTGGCCTGAATAATTTGAATATCCAGCTTCTGTAACCTTCTCCTCCTGTGTTTGTAACTCTGACGTACCTATTCGCTTCATCACAGGTCACACGTTGATCTTGAAAGGTGTATGGTGGTCAGTCACGAACTTGGCATGTGTGTACTGAGTGTGTAATTACAGCAATCTGGCTTCTGTTAGTGGGCACTCACAGAGATGTGGAGAGGAGGCAGACTGCCCCCAGCTGGTGGAGTTAAGAGAGAGCATGGGAAGGGAAGGAGAGGCAAGCTGAGTCTTGAATTGCGGAAGTTTGAATAGCAAGGAGCCTCAGGTACAGAGGGACCTGCAGGGCAGTCTGTCCTTACATTTAAGGTCATTCCCAGTAGGGAAGCTGAGCTGGTTCAAGTCCCAGCTACTCCACTTACAATCCAGCTCCCTGCTAATGTGCCTGGGGAGGCAGCAGAAGATATTCAATGGAGTACTTGGGCCCCTGCCACTCATGGGATGGGGGAGCCTTCCTGGTTTCAGATTGGCCATTGAGGCCGTTTGGGGAGCTGAGCAGCAGGTAGACCAGTCGGTCTGTCTCTCCATCTCTGTCTTCATCTCTGCTTCACGTCACCCTACCAGCCCCTTCCCTTAAGCTCTCTCCCTCTCCTTGTGTCCTTTCCTTCCTTCCTCCTTCCCCTGTTGCTCTGCTGTCAAATCAATAAATCCAACATAAAGAGTGACCCCAGAAGAGACAGACTTATGCCTAGATAGTCTTGGTGCTCTTGATAACCAAAAGAATTCAATTTTTTTGTTTGTTTTGTGAAAGTTTTATAAAAATGTAATGACCTGTGACCATACCACCAAAGCCACTCCTAAGCCCTTCAGAGACCCATGCAAATAAGGAGTTTTGCAACATACCTATCTCTGAGTTTGAATCTCCTTGGGCCTACTCAGTGCCAGGCTGGCACAGGATTAGGAGAGCCCTACAGATCTCCCAGGGCTGGCCACCCCTCCCAGGAGGGAAGGGGTAGCATGGTGTGTGCAGGCAATGGGGAGAGGGCAGAGGAGATAGACCTGCAACAGGTGTTTGCTTGGTATCATCTTGGTTCCAGGCCAGGGGCTATAAGCTTGTCAGTAAAATGCATCTGGTCTCCCTACCTCTCACTCATCATCACCCTCAAAGAGCCTGGAGCATTGGAATGGTGATTGAGGAAGGACACAAAATAGAGGAAGACGAGCCTGGACTTAACTCCAAACACTTTCTCTTTCTACTTGGGCCGCCTGAGGCAGCTGCTTAGCAGGTAGAGTAGAACAGAAACCTGGCTCTTGCTGTTGACACGAGATGACCTCCGAGAACTGAGCCTGGCATTCTTTCCTGTGGCTTCCACAGGGCTGGCAAGCCCGCCCTTGCTCTGTCTTGCAACATTAAAATGTAAGCTGCCTGCTGGCAAGGGGCCTTTGCTATCTGGCTCATGGCCGTGTCCTCAGAACCTGAAACAGTGCCTGATCCACAGGCAACCCTCAGTGAATAGATGTCGAGTGGGTGCACCAGAAGGGTCCATTTATGACAACATCCTTGGATGTTGCTGTCCTGGCATTGGTTTTTCTCAACTGTAGCCATTTGGGCCAGACCATTCTTGGTTGTGTGTTTACCGACATCCCTGGCCTTGGCCTATAAGAATGGTCACAGCATCCCTTTCCCCCGGTGGTGACAAACAGAAAGTATCTCTGGATTGTGCCACCTGTCCCCTTGGGACAGAAGCACCCACTGTGGAGACCTACTGGCCCGAGGCAGTGATCCAGACTTGGGTAAAGGAAACTCTTCAAGTAGTCAAGGTCAGATTAGATTATAAAGGTCATTGAGTTTCATTTTGCATACTAGTCTATTTGTCATTGGCTCAGCCATGCCTGCTGTGCCAGCATCCTCTGGTCTACTCTTGTTGGTGGTAAATGAGGCAGCCACCACAGTACCCCTAGACACTCACAGCATAGAACCATTCTGAACACCAGTCTCCATTGGGCCAATGGCCACTATGCCTCCCTGTAGAGCATACTGCTGGAATCTTGGAAATAATAACCTTAAAACACCTGTCCGCAGGGCAGAAAGGACCAGGGGATGGCTTGCATATATCCTGTTCTACTCAGCCACTATACACACATGCACGCACATTCCTGCCCTGCTGCTGCCTCTCTGTCTCCCCTTTGTGTGTAGTGATCTGCAGTCATCCCCCGGCCCTTCCGGAACCATTTGGGAAATGGAAGGCAGGCAAGAGGAGAGAGGAAGAGAAGAAAAAGGAAAAGGAAGTAAGAAGACTGTGAGCATGGTACCGTGGAAAGGCCCCAGATACTTAGCTTTTACATTGGTGGGCCATCTTAGAGCATGTCTGCACAAATAAGACTAGAACAGTTCCGCCACTGTCTGCAGAGTCTGTGTGAGGGTCTAAAGCCGTGTGTTTGGAAGGCATGTGGAGGTGGCATCCCAGATGATGGTTGTGGGGCGGCCTCTTTTGGTAGGACAGAGTAAGAAAATATAGGAGAATGATGTGGAGGGACGCCTCCTCGTGGGGAAGCAGCTCCACCAGGGCATTCTCTGCCAGGTAAGCTGTAGGAGGAACCCCAAGACATGCATCTGGAATAGCTTGCCTCTTTCATCCTCCCCTGATTCCGAGCCACCTGTGCACCCGTCCTAATCACTGTGGCATGTCCCAGGGCTGGATGAAACCACCTCCAAGTGACTTCCAGGACAGGAAATTCTCAAGAATGCAGCTCCATTCCTGGGGATGCAGAAGTCCTTTTTGCCCTAGGAAGCATCCATATTCTGCATGCACTGTCTGACCACACCCCAGCTACCCAATGTCCCTCAAGCCCAGCTTCCCCTGGGGAACACGAGCTGGGGACTTGGAGTAACTCAGACAGAAGCCACCCTTACACTGCTAGGTCTCCCTAGGCCAGCAGGGTCTAAGTTCAGTTTGCTTCCTTCCTGATGTCTCCTCTGTTTCTCTTCAAACTCCATCCACCCACACCCATCCCCAGCATCTTGACCCCTGGCGCCTGTGCAAAAATGTCTGAATTTCTGCATGATTTCTTGGGTCAGAATTTATATGTGCTCATTGGATAGCTGCGGGCATGATCATGATACAAGTCTCTTATTGAGGTGGTTCAGTAACAGGGCACCCCCCCCAAAAAAAAAATGGAATAAGAGAGGGCAGCAAAGTGTTTTCAGCAAGGACTAGGTCCCACTGGGTCCAGCTGCCAACCAGACTTCAAGTTGTTCATGGGTGTGTCATGGGCAGCTTGCTCTGTTTTCACGTATTTCCCATCGGTAAAACAGACATGATTATAGACTCAGGACTTGAGTAGCACTAGGAAAGGACAGTATATTTTAAAAAAGAGCTGTACATACTGCCTATTGAGCATGTGTAGAATGCTACACATGACTATTCAAAGACGTATCTCCAGAAAGACTTGGACCAGTGCTGTGGGGTAGCAAGTTAATCCTCCGCCTGAACTGTTGGCATCCAGTGTGGGTGCCGGTTCTAGTCCCGACTGTTCTGCTTCCCATCCAGCTCCCTGCTTATGGCCTGAGAAAGCAGCAAAAGATGGCTCAAGGCCTTGGGTCCCATGCACCTACCTGGGAGACCTGGAGGAGGTTCCTGGCTTCTGATTGGCTCAGCTCTGGCTGTTGCAGTCATGGAGGGAGTGAACCAGCAGGTGGAAGATCTCTCTCTGCGTCTCTCCTTTTCTCTGTAATTCTGCCTTCTTATTAAGAAAATAAAATCTTCAAAAGTTTCAAAAAATAATCAAAAAGAAAGGTTCAATGTGGCTTTAAAGCGTTTCCTGCCGTGACTCAATTGTCGCTTTCTTCTTTTAGGTGCCGTTTTTCGGGCGAAGAATGCACCACACTTGCCCGTGCCTGCCAGGCTTGGCCTGCTTACGGACTTCGTTTAACCGATACATTTGTTTAGCTCAAAAGTAATCACCTTAGAGACTTTGAATGAGAACAGCCACGGGGCATCTGTGAGGGTATTTCTCGTGACCGCGCCAAGCAGATCCGACACCGCAAGGACATGCTCTTGCTTCTTCCACTCTCCAAGCCACATTTTCATCTTTGATTTCTAAATACTCCCCCCCACCCTCATGTATTGAAAGGGAGTTTTAATCTGGGATGGAAATGGAAAGTTACAAGGCATCTTGGGAGTGGTTCGTGTTGGGTTTGCTTTGGACCCACTTCCACCACGGCGAAGCGAGAAGGAATGTGATGTTTCTATTGCAGTGGCAGTTTCTTCCCGGATGCATCTGTGCACGCCTCTCCTGTCCCACTAGTCATGAGCGTCCGTGGGTCGCTCTTAGTCCTGGAAGGATTTTGAACCCTCTGTTTCATCTCCATTTCTCCTCCTGCCCCTCTGGCACCGTGACGTGGGAAGGGGTCTTGTGCTGGGTACCTTGTGTCTTGCTGGCAGAGTCTCTGAGAGAACCTGATCCTTGAGTGGGGAAGCCAGTGTGGTTGAAAGGGGCTCTTCGGAACCCTCTTAGGGATTGGGGGATTGGCGGCATTCGTTCCCAAAGCCCGCCTTCCGTGCAGACTTCAGCTGTGCTCTTCAATTGTGTGAGAACTGGAGGAATGGAAAGCAAATTAACTTAGTTCACATTTCCAGATTGGGAGGTTTCATATCTATTAATGATTTCTTTACCAATGCCATCTTACATGGTTTTTCCTTAAGTTTATTGTTATTATTAATTTAAGCTCCTAGCTGCAGTTGTTCTGGAAAACGCTACTTGGAGAGGCTGTGCTGATTGCAATCTGGCATGACACGAGTTCCCGTTTTCTCATTTGAGTCAGTATGAAGTTGTAATTTAAACTTTATTTGTAATGCGAAGTCATTGTAATGGGTCGCCAGAAGTCTGCCCTTTGTCCTGTATCACACTGCTGTGTTAAAATTCTGTATCAGAATTATGACGGTACTATATATCATTGGATTTATTTTAATATTACATCCTTATTTTTGTCACGCATGTTGTCAGGCTTTTATTACAAGTACCTCTCTGCTATAGAACACCTCTGAAAGCAAGTGAAAACAGCCCCGAGGGGTTGTGAATCTTCACGTGACATGCAGGAAAGTTCTGATTGCATGCCTTTTACAGGTACCACCTACAAAAAATAAACAGTATGCAAATCAGTGATGTTTTCCAACGTGAAGGAAAAGTATGACGTGCAAAGCCCATTGCAGTCAGGAGTGGACGTGTCGGGGTTTCCCGTGTGTGGACATGGCACAAAGAGGAGGAGTGGGTATCCTTGATTGGTCAGGTGGTGTTGCTGTTACCACCAGGCCTTGGAAAGCCCACCAAGTATTGCTGACTCAGTCAATGCTGTGACTAATATATGGAAGGTGCCAACCCATTGACCATTTTAATTGAAAAAAAAAACAAGCAAAAAAAAAAAAATAAAGAAAACTCCACTTTGTTGTCATTTATTCAACCAGGGCTTAAAATTGCACACTGTGGTGTGTCATTGTATTCCTTGATCTATGTATGAAATTCTGTACATTTTTATTAGCATATTTGGTCAAAGAAGTATCAGTTTTGGTTCAGTTGAGTTTGTGTTGTAAAAGAAAAATCCCTCAGTGAGTTTTGTTGGGAGAAAAAAGGAACTTTCGGAAGTGGGATTGCAGGGAAAGAGAGGCAGGCATGTGAGCAATTTTGTAGAACTGGTTTGCATACAATGTTGAGGGCACCTTTTTAACAAGCAGTGAAAAGGCAGTGGGGTCCGTTGTCTGTTCTCATCTTAAATGTTAGAAAAATGTAGCAAACCGTCTTTCTCTGATCTATACCAGCCTGCCTTCAGTTGCTGCATAAAGGGGTAGATTTCATGTATACAATGAAAGAACAAAAGTGAAGTTTGCATAGCTAATTGTGGATTGTACCCGCTGTCTCAATGCCACCCATGAAAGGGCAGAGCTTTGTCAGTTCCCACCTGCATAGTCATGACAACACAGCATTACAAACGGCTAGAGACCCGGTCGGTCGTGTTACAGAGGGAGCTGTTTGGGCTTGCAGTTTTGACTTGGCTCTGGTGATGGCTTCCCGTGGCAGGAGACAGGGACTGTGGCTCCATATGTCCCTTGAGGTCCCTTTCCTGAGAACCTTAGCTAACCCTGGCCACCTCCCAAAGGCCCCCACTTGTGAACACCATAGTGGATCGTGTTTCTACCCTCTCACACCTCACAATAAGGATTACATTCCCACGTCTGAATCCTTGGCAGGGACCCTGAAACCATGCCCACCCCAAAGCATGGTTCCCCTCCCCTGGATTATCATTCTGAGCAGGTTTAGTGTACAGTTCTCATTCATGGTTGTATTTGGCTCTTGGAATTAACACTTTTCAAATACTTGTTTCCAAGAACTTAGCGTTGTGCTTCTCAGAGACTCTTCAAAGCAGGGCAAAGCGTACAGAGCCTTGCCTCTAAGGGACCTGGTGCTATTTGTTGCAATTCCTGGGAAGTTGTCCCTTGGCGGTTGGCACTTCAGAGTTCCTATGAGGTCAGGTGGGGTGGGAGTTCACACAAGAACAAGTAAAGCAGCTGTCCACATTCATGAGAATGCGGTGAGCGAATTCTGTTATTCTCGTGTCCAGATAGAGCTCATGTGAGGACCTGCTGTCCAATCAGTGCACTTTAGAATGTCCGGGCCGATGTTGACTTTCATGAAAGCTGACAACTGTCCTTTCTGATGCTAGCCTTGTATTAACAGCAGTCTTACCCTTTTTTGGCCATTAGAAGAGTTTATGCCAAAAACGATTTCCTTGCATATCCTCTTACCTCTAACACTTCCTTCCTTCCCAGCACTTTGGTGTTAGTCCCTTTGGGACCAAGTGACAGTTCCAAAGTGTGAACCAATTCTCTTCTTCACCCACTTCTTCCTTCATTCCTACCATTTTGCTTTTAAAAGCGGATCATTCCTGGTCTTCAGTGAGGGTCCCTGTAACTTACGACCTGCCTCCATGTGCCCATGCATTTCAAATAATGGCTCAGCCCATCTCTCTCCTTCTCTGATAGCTTTCTCCAGCTTGCTAAATCTCAGCACTCCCTCCTACATGAAAGAGGATTGTATTTCTCCTCGCATTTTTAAAAGGGTTAATTGATAAATTAAAATATATATATATATATTTGGTTTATTCAATCTGATTTTTAAAAGATGTATATTCTGCAGAGTGGCTAAATTGAGCTAATTAACATGTATTGCCTCACATATTTATTTGTGCGTGATGAGAACACTTGAAATCCTCTGTCAGTAACTTTTTAAAGGTTTATTACACAAAAGAGTGAGAGAGAAATATCATCCGTCTCTTGGTTCACACTCTCCCAAATGGTGGTAACAGGGCTGGACCAGGGTGAAGCCAGGAGCCAGGAGCTCATGTGGATCTCTCATGTGGATTCAGGACCCCAATAACGTGGACCATCTTGTACTACTTCTCCCAGGCACATTTGCAGGGAGCTGGATGGGAAATGGGAGCAGCCAAGGATCAAACCAGTGTCCACATGGGATGGCAGTGTGCGGGCTGCAGCTTCATCAGATATGCCATTGCCCTGGCCCCTCGGTGATCTTTAAGTTTATAAAGACATTCCAAACAAAAAGATCATGGAAGAAATAGAATGAAAAGATAAGGGACATGTGTTGGGTGGAGCAGTGCAAGCCCCTCTTGGGATGTTTACATTGCCTAGCAGAGTGTCTGGGTTTGAGTCTCAGCTTAACTTTTGCTAACTTCCTGCTGCTGGGCACACTGGAAGGCAGCAGGGAATGACCTGAGTGGTTGGATCCTTGTCGTGCAAGTGGGAGAATCCACTAGAGTTCCTAGCTCTTGGCCCAGATCTGGCTGTTGCAGGCATTTGGGGAGTGAATCAGTGGATAAAGATTCTCTCTCTAACACTCTCTCTTTGTGGTTCTTTGCTTTTCAAATAAAAAGTGAGCTTACTAATAATGATTGCTGCATTTGTGAATTATACATATGTTTATTTTGGTATAAATGATTTTGAGATGTAGTTATGCTTTTTTCATAATAGGCATTTCTCATGGACTTTCTGAATTATCTCCATATTATAGTCCAGAATTTTTTTAGTGTTATCATAAAGATGGTGGTTTTAATGCAATGATTCTTAAGAAAATTTTACTGCCCCCAACTTCAAATGTATATAATTTGTGTAGGTTGGTTAATTTAGAGCAATTAAAGAATTCTGCTCTTGGAGCACCATTTGCACTTTCTCCCTCGTCCACAATCCTGAGGTTTGGACTGCATTTGTCTGGGGTGAGGCTTGGGTGCTGGCCTGTTATCAAGAGCTCCCTGGTTAGTTCTGAAGTTGAGAACCAGGGGCTCATGCACATCTATGGAGAAACAACTGCTGCCCTGCAACACTGATGAGGCAAGAGCTGAATGCCCATCTTCTCAGGCCACCCTCAGAAGGTCCTGTGGTCCTTGGCATCAGGAACTCCAGTTTACTCCATCCCAGAGGGAAGGAGGGCCCCTGGGGATGCCCTGTGTGGACTTCAGCAGCAATTCAGCGGCTTCTGGGGAGTCCAGGCACAGGGTCCTAGAATAAGGTCAGGGAGGCAGGCTGGGTCCAAATCAACTACACCCTGGATCTCCTGCTGCCACACAGCTCCCTTGGGTGCCTGACAGAAGCAAGCCTGTTCCACAGGACCCACCTGCTGGACTACAGTCCCCTTACATCTCAGGACTTGGTTCTCCTTGACTGGGCCCATAACTCATCCACATGCTCTAAAAAGTCCAATATTGGGTCATGCTATTACTGAATAAATCAGGCTAAATAATAATTATTTCAATGAAACAGACATATCTCCCCAAAGATTGTGACAGACACTTAACCTAGCAATTGTAATATCGTATTAGAGCATATGGGCTCTGGCTCCTGATTCCAATTCTTGCTAATCCCTGGTTCCTGCCACCTGCCATTTGTGTGAAAGCCATGAATTCAGTTCCCCAGTTCCTAGCATCAGCCTGGTTCAGCCAAGGCCATTGCACACATTTGAGCGTGGACTAATGCATGGCATTTCTCTCTCTCTCTCTCTCTCTCTCTCCCTCGCCCCTCCCCTCCCCCAACCCCTGCCTCTCAAGTAAACATTTTCTTAACGTCAAAACATTTTGCATACAAAGTAGTAGAAAAGTAAACATTCCATACAGTTTACATATTGGATCAAAGAAATGGCGGTTATCTGTGGGCTCTGTCTTCTAGAGTTTCAATGGGGAAGTTTTTGTGAATCCCGAAACCTTAAGGCAAAGGACTCAGATAAAACAAATCCAATTACAGATGATGGTTTCACAACCTAAGAGTGCACTTCTAATCACATTTCCACATTGTTTAAATCCGGGTTTTCATCATCTTGATTAAAATGTGATATAACTTATAAAAAAAATGTTTTTGTTGCAGAAACTCACAAGCAAAATTGGAGAACTTGTGCTTTATTCAGTTATATTTGAATAACTGTAGAGGAGTTTCATAAATTGAATTTCCCTCCATCAGTGTATTCGGTTCATTCTTAAAGACAAGCAAATCAACTGAGACTTTATGTGGACATTTTACATACAAGAGTAAAAACAACAACAAAAACTTTAGGTAAGGAAGCCTCCTAGTATCCTAGGATCTTATCAGCATTTTTCATCTCTGTTCTGATCCTGTGCCAGCTCCACCCCTTCCTTCGAGCCCTTCTCTACTGTCTTAGGGCGAATATGTGTGGTCTGTTCTTGACACTCCTCCGTATGGGAAAGACAGCCACATTCTGGGGTGTCTCAACAGCCCTGATCCCATTTGTTTTAATGGCAGTTCTCTGCTTGTGTCCTCTGGCAAGATGAAGGTGCTTTCAACTCATTAGTCTGTGTGTCCATGTATTTGCTGTTTGAAACCCCAAGTTGGAATTCAGAACAAAAGAAGAGAAATACTTCAGACCCAGAATATGCCCATAACTCTTTGCTCCCACGTAACATTGCATAAGATGACTTTTCATTGTTGCTTGAAGTCTAAGAGACTCAGGATGGATCTCTGATGCAGAGTCTGAGACACAGCTTGGGATGGCCACATCCCATATCAGTGTTTGAGTTCTGGCCCTGCTCCTGGTCCCAGTTTCCTGCTAATGTGCACCCTGAGAGACAGTAGGTGATATATCAAGTAGGTGGGTCCTTGCCAAGATGGCGAGCTTGGCTTTGGCTTTTACAGGGATGATAGGTGGAGCCAGGCCGTGGCTTCCTGTTGAGGTGACTAGGTCCAGGTACAGGTGTGAGGAGTGACTGGAACGCGAGCCCTGAAGGCTGTTGCCACTTTGACTCTGTACCATTGCTTTTGTGCCTTTCTGGTTATCCACCAATGACATGTAACCTCCTGGCGTCTTACCTGAGAACCTTACCCACCGTTCTCTCGTGGTCCCTCCCCCTAATCCTTACCCACCTGCCAATCACCTGTGAGCATCTCAATCACCATTCCCTGGGGCCCCGTCCACAGCCCCTTCTCCCAACCAATTCCCCCTGCCTCTCAAACCTTCCAGGCTCTCCCGGGTTGTATAAGTGATCCTTGATGTGTGTGCCTTTCCCCTTTTCCCCTTCTCCTGGCTTTCGCCCGCCCCTCCATCTCACCCCTTCCCCCTGCCATGGCAACCCCCATCCTGCCACCTCGGCAGGATCTGTTTCCCTTCCTGTTCTCCCTTCTTCCATTTCCTACTCCCATTCCTACCCTGCTGGGGAAACTAATCGTGGAAGGAAAACTTGACTGCAGGAAATTAGCTGCACGCAAGAAGTTAGGTGCACTTAAGACGTAACGGGGAACAGAGGGATGGGGGTTTGAGAACTGCCAGTGTCCAAATCACAAATAGAAGTTTTCTTGCCGTTACAGACTCAAGAGAATAGTTTAAGGAGACCCTAATGAAGGAAGAATCTCCAGAATCAGAAATGATTCATCTCAATTCCATATGTTATTCACAAGAGGATTTGTATTCCAAACAGAAGAAACGTGTCAATATGTGGTCTTGTATCCAATGTCCCTTACTCTGAAAAGTGCTACCTACTCACAGATGAAGGCATTTTGGAGAGGCAAGTGCTATGAGACCAAAACAGGCCATGGGGTGCAGTGGGTGAATGCCCATTTAGAATAACCACACCCCATATTGGAATACCTGGGATTGAGTCCTGCCTCCACTTCCCATGCCTTGCTAATGCGCATCCTGGAGACAGCCTGGGGCCCCTGCACCCACATAGG